ATTTTAACTTCACCCACAAATTGAGAACTTATTAAATTTGGTTTTGGCCATCAATCAAAGCATGAATAAAAGATTTTGAGTGCTCCAATATAAATAGAGCAACTTACCAATGATGCATGGTTTGACATTTTGATATTATGAATGACACTTTTCATCTTTGAAAAGATGACTTTTGTCTTGAAGTACCATATTTAATTGTAATCGATGCGTTAAAATACCTTTTTGATAGTGTATATTCTATGCTATTCCATTTTCTAAAAATTTAATAAGAAGATTTTTTCATACATTGACTTGAAGCCACTAGGATGAAATATAAACACATTATCTTCCATTTAACTTCAAGGGATAAATGACATATGGTTTTTATATCTAAAACACTTAAAATCTAAAATAATTGAATATACAAATTCTATATATTTATTATATTCACATAAAATATTATTTTAAATATATTATTTATACTCATATATTAGTATTGTTATAGTTGCCACATCCACAAACAATTCAAGAATATTTGTTTGAAAGAATATCTATGGAATAAATTTTAGATCCAACATGTGTAATAAGAATGTGGACTTATTGTACAAGGATAATAATATAAACACTACACATTAATGGATCATAATATTAAAAGAGATAGAATCAATACATATTCTGCTAAAGTTTTTCTATTCATATGAAGTATAAACTCTTAAAGAGAAATGAAATAATCATTAAATCTATTTATGTGTGAATCCAATAGATTTTCTTCATAATATTCATTGAATTAAAGAGAAGTACTATTATACACATTGCATTCTTTTTTCCTTCGAACCTTTCTTTTCCACTAGATTTTTCTTTTCCATTGGACTTTTCCTAACAAGTTTTTTAATGAAACAATATACTAACAAATAATAAAAAGATGGATATCCAAAGAGGAGTATTATGAAATAAAAGTGGCTATTACATTTTTTTCATTTTTGGCCGATGGCATGACTGGTAGTAGGTAAATTCACATTCTATATCAAATAAATTTTTGTATTAAAAATAGGGAAAAGGGAAAAATAAGAAAGTCCTAACATTAAAAATACTAAGACATCTAAATGTCTAAAAATAACTATATGATAAATTTAATAAAACTAGGATCTAAAATGTGCTCCACATATTTAACAATTATGATTTGATGTCTCAATATTTTTAATATCAAAACATATTAATTTTTTGTTTTGTTTTAAAGATAAGTTACTTTTAAAATTTCACCTCTAAGCAAAATGTAGATATATATGCTAGCTTCCACAAAGTTTAATATTGACTTGTGAATTTTCAACCCTTCTAGTTATACATGGTGTTGTCATGATTTACTCTTTCGTTTGTCTCCACTTGTGCTTAATTTCATGTCGGTATATGAGTGTAAGTCCTTAATATACGTGATGAGGAATTCTATAATATTGTATTGTAGATATGAGATGACTTTTTTTTCTTTTTTTGGTACATGGGCCAGTGCTTTAAGTATTGAATAGTCAAGAAGCATGAGGCTTACAAACACCTAAAAAATCATTATGAATATTATGGCGAACTATATCTGGAGGTTCCTCAAAGAAATAGAAGCCTTAGCTAGATGATAAAAACCAGAGGCCATAGAATTAGCACATGAATTTGCCTCCCTAAAAATGTGGCATAGCTCACAAACCCAATTCCCATTAATCAGTTCAATGCAGTCTCGACATAAAGGGTAAAGAGCATTGGCACTCCTAAAACTTTGTAATTTCTGCTTGGCCAATAGGAATCAATTTCGATTCTAAGTCAAGCCTTTCTAGATTGCAAAAAAGTTCTACACTAATTGCATAACCCATTCCCAAATGTTGAGTGAAGCTAAAAGCCCAATCACCATTTGAATCTCTACACAAATCTCCTACTGCAGACTCTCTTGGTGTCCCTCTAGCTAAGGCATCCACATTAATTTTCACAAAGCTTGATAGGGATCTTTCCCACCCAATGAGTTGCTCAAAATGTGGGTTCTCATATGCTTCTTTAGGTCAAGAGCTACTTCCATTAAGTGAGATCTCAATTGATACTCTTTGCTTATAATCCAGTCTTTATCTCCTTTGAACACTGCTTTGTTTTGGGCAAGCCATATATACCAACAAATGGCAGGAAAAGTAAAGCTCCAAAGGAGGTTATGTTCGATCAAAACATTCCCTTGTGATAGGTGGTGATGAATCCATTTGATTTGATCCATTCTTTGCCATCACTACCAAAGTGTGTCACCAATCCATTTGCTCCATACCCTTCTTGAGCTTGGACAATCTCTAAAACAATGCAATATATCTTCGCTGCCATTCTGACATCAGGGACATAGATCATCTATTGTTAAACCATGTGCCATCCTAGAGCTATTTGTTAGTACTCTATTATGTAGCATAAGCCATAATAAACTCTTCTCTTTTGGGGCAACTTTGACTTGCCACAGCATTTTTCGCCTCCCTATAATAGGAGAAGAAATGGACTTAATCAACAATTCATAAGCAGATCAGCTGGAGAAATTACCATAAGTAATGTGTCTCCAATAGATTGAATCTTGTACTCCATCCTTATCATCCAATTGCACTAATTGGAGTTGATAAATCAATTCATTTGACAACCAAGCTCACAAGGAATTTAAATCCCAACAACCATCAAACCAATATTCTGCCACCATTTTGCATAACTCAGCTTCAAGCAGTTAGTCAATAGTCTTCAGATACAGAGGAGCATCTATAAGCTAAGTATCTAGCTAGAAAAGAGTCTTGGCTCCATTGGATACCACAAAGCCCATGCCAAATTGCACTAGATCTGGTGATCCAATAATACCTTTCCATGTTTTCGATGCACCTAGTTTTAGTTCAGCATTAAGAAAGTCATAGTTTGGAAAATATTTGGCCTTGACTACTTGCACCCATAAAGCATAGGTTCCATTAAAACTTTCCAGCCAAGCTTAGCAAGGAGTGCTTTGTTCATTAAAGATGTAGCTCGAAAACCTAGCCCACCAAAACTTTTAGGAGTACAAACTCTCTTCCATCTAACTAGGTTAATCTTTTTATTCCAATCAACACTTCCCCATAAAAATTCTCTATTAGCCGTGTTAATATCTGAACACGTTGAAGAAGGAAGTTTCACTGTTTGCATGACATGATTTGCCATGGTAGATGATACTGACTGAATCAACACCTATCTACCTGCAAAAGACAATTGATTGGCCTTCCATAATGATAAGTGATTTTGGACTTTTTTCACCACATTCTTATATGTATTTTGAGTAACTCTCTGGTAATGAATGGGAACTCCAAGATATCTTTCCAAATCATTAGTAGATGTCATTCCTGTGATGCTACAAATATTCTCAATAGATTGACGATTAGTGTTGGGTGAAAACAAAATTTTTTATTTGTGCACATTCACCTTTTGAGTAGAAAAATTACAAAAACAATCAAAACAATTAATCACTATGAGTGCATTTTCAATAGCAGCTTTACCAAAAAGACTTAAATCGTCTGCAAAAAAGACATGAGTAAGAAAGGGCCCTTTTCATGTAATTCACGTGGGAGACCAGTTTTTGAGTCGATCTTCATTCTCAATCATTTGCGACAAGTGATCCAAGCAAAGAACAAACAAGTAGGGTGAAAGTGGGACGCCTTATCTTAAACCTCGAGTAAGAGTGAAAGGCCTAGTTTTCTCTCTATTCCAAAGAAGGGTAAACTCTAATGAAGAGACACATAACATAATCAATGCAATCCAATTGCTAGGAAGATCTAGATCCTGTAGTACCCATCGCAAAAATTCCCAATCTATACGATCGTAAGCCTTCTCAAGATCTATCTTCATGATGAAATTTCCAATTTTCCCTTCGCATTTTTTTATAGAATGAACAACTTCTTGCACGATGATAATCCTATCGTGACAATCTTTCCCCGGAATAAAGGCACTTTGTGTTGAGCTGAAAACATCCATAATAATAGGTCGTAATCTATTTACCATGACTTTTGTAATTACTTTAACAGCAACATTGCATAAGCTGATAAGCCTTAATTGATTCAAGGTCTCTAGTTGTGCAATTTTAGGAATGACGCAAATAAGAGTTGCATTAAGCCATGCATCAAAAATTCCTTCATTAAATGCTTTACTAAAAAAACCAAACACTTTAAAGCCTACAACTTCCCAATTCTTTTGACAAAAAAACTAGTTGTAGCCCATCACTTCCCGAATCTTTAAAAGCACACACAGAAAACTGCATTCTTAACTTCCTCCAAAGTTACTGGATGATGAATAGATAAAAGATAACTTCACTCATACAACCATTTCTTAGAAAAGACATGGCATAAGAATGATCAGAGGTAGCTTTCCCAGCTTGATAAAGATTGCTAAAATAATTAACCACTATATCACATAGGTCTGTTGGGTCAGTACAACAGGAATTATAATCCATTTTTAAGGCGGTAATCTTCTTATATCTTCTCCTCACGATACTAGTAGCATGGAAGAAGCTTGTATTGCCATCACCAAATTGGACCCAATTGGATTTGGATTTCTGAAACCATAGCATCTCTTCTTGTTTTAGCACAGCGTTATAAGCCTTGATCAATCTATCTTTTAAGGCAAATAATGAAGGCCTTGGACTACTTTCAATCACTTTCTGTATATTGACAATATGAGCTAATAATTTGCGTTTTCTCTTGAATATGTTCTTAAACAGCTCTCGATTCCATACTTTAACCTTTTCTGTGAAATAACCAATGGCCTCTGCAAGTGTAGTACTCTTAATCCATGAATCTATAAGAAAAGATTTAAAGTCTGGGAGTGATTACTAAACCACCGCGAATCAAAAAAGGCTTGTTATTTTTGTTGAATGGTTGTAAACCTCTCATATTTAACAAGATTGGATATTGATCATTGTCAGTATGAGGTAGATTATGAACAAAGGCTTCAAGCAAAAAAGCCTCCACTGAATATTTGCAACAACACTATCTAATCTTTTCATGACAAGTCTATTACCATGCTGATTATTAATCCATGTAAATCTACTTCCTGATGCCCCAAAATCAAGAAGTCCTCTAGCTTGAAAACTAGCCAACATTGAAAAAGCACCACGCAAACCTAAAACTTTGCCATCTAGCCTCTCATCACTTGAAGTGATCTAGTTAAAGTCTCTGACTAGGCACAATATCAAAGCAATCCAACCATTTAATTTTATCCCATAGAAGTTCCCTAATAAAGGCAGTAGGACTAGCATAAACAATTGAAAAAACACAAGGTTCCAAATTGGGGTATTTAACTAATAGAGAGATCATCTATGGTGATTCTTTTAGGACAGTGACCTCTTCTACTGAATTGTTCCACAAAACCCATATCCCTCTTAAAAAGCCCTGTGCATCATCCACTTTAGTAAAGATATCAAATCTAAGCTTGCTAACTTGGCTGTTTGCCACAAAACCACTAATTCTTGGTTCAACAACAATAAAACCATCAAGCTTATAAATTTTAATTAGTTCTCAAGTAGTCCTAACAAAATCTCTATTAGTTGCCCCCTTAACATTCCAAAATAAAATTGACATTAAAAAAAATATATAGGGTTTAGGAAAACTCTCTTAGGATTCAATGGTGTTCGACCCTGCGTCGGCCATCACAGTATCCTTTATTTGCAATTGATCCTTAGAAATTTCCTTTCCTTGGGTAATCATCTCTATCTTATTTGTTTGAGGTTCTTGTTGCTCAACAATAGCTTTTCCATGATGTGATATCACTACCTCCAGCCCAGCATTCCAAATCACAACCTCTTGCACTTCGCATGACTTCCCTTTAGTAGGTGCTTCTATCATTTGACAATTTATGAAATCATTACTAACAACATTATTTCCTTCATAACCAAAAACAAAGAGCTTTGTTATGCCCTTACTAGTATCTGCAAACCTAAGAGGTGATAAATTAGAAATCGAAGTAGCACCCTTTGATTTTGGATCACATTTGATGATGGCCCGACTTTTCATAGCTGTCTTACTAGATTTCCTTTGAGCCTTATTCTTATTTTGAGCTCGCTAGTCATTAACTCCATTTAATGTCCCCAAATGTAATTGAAGCCTTTTAAGTGTAAATGGTAGAGCAAATTCCTTTCTGGCCATTGAGAACTCCTTTGCTTGGGTTTTAATAGACGGCCTAGCCTCTACACTTGGGCTTGCGGCCCTTTTTCGTTTCTTTTGCCACCTAGTAACTTGACTTAAAACCTTGTTTGTTGCTCTACTGGATCCTCCTTCCTTGATTGATGTCACTACGTCTCTAGTAGCTATTGAAGCTATTTGACTAGTGGGATTGCCATTTTTGGCACCTGCTTCGCCAAAATTCTTTCTTGAATTATCAGGATTAGATGATCGTTGAACACTTTGATTGCTACCATCATCAATGTGCAAGGTTGCAAATCTATTGTTATTCCCAGTTCTTAACCCAGCCCTTAAATCATGCATATTAGATATATTAGTTACACCAGTTTTTCCATAAGTAGGCTACCTTTGATTGTGCCTTTGCCTAGTCATCCAAGAACCATAATCATCCTCCTTTATCAGAGTTGATTGTTGTGTAATCACTGGAGCATTTGGAGTCATTGGAGCCTTACCACACACCGTTATTGATTCCACAACAGTCCTCTACCATGCCACAACTTGCTTTTCTGGGCAATTTTCTCTTTGATGACCATATTGAAAACAAGAGAAGCAAACCACATCTAGTCCATCATACTCCACCTTGTGCTCTTCCCCTCAATGCACACCATTGGAAGCAATGGCTTAGTCAAGTCCAGTTCAATGCAAAACTTTACATACTTCCCCTTACAAGCATATTGAGATAAGTAGTCTAACTTGATGACCTTGCCAATCTGTTTTCCCACATGGTTGAGCCCTATATCATTGTAGCACCATGTTGGCGCTTATGGAACACGAACCCATGTAGTAATATTCTCCAAGTGATCTTCATCAGGATGAAAATAAGGGCTCCATCATCTAACTACAACACAGTACTTGCTCACATTCCAAGGGCTGCTAGTCAAGACCCTTTTGTAATCTTCCTTCTTAGAGAAACGAAAGAGGAAGCGTCCATCACCTACATCAATGGCATGAAAATCCCTTTCTAAACTCCAGAGATGCTTGGCCCTTCCACATAATACTATATAGCCAATAGAGTGGTGCAATGGTGTAATAATTAATGACTATGCCATGGCTTCCACATCAATTCTTTTTCCTCTTTTGTGAAAACCACATTTGGCCACTTGCACTCTACAATTGTACTTTTCGTAGCCTCCCACTTTTTAAGTAACGAATCGTCCTCTTCCATATCAGACTAATCTTTCCACTCATCTTCATGACCGTCTGCATTAGTGAGTTTCTCCTTACATGAGATCCTAACTTTTTCAGTTTCGGATGTGTCAGTGGCCACCACAGATCCAGTCTTCGGTGGTGAGCTTTTATCCAACACGATCATGAGACCATCAAGTGCTTCTTCAATGGTGAGATCCATACTCTATGAATGTTTGGACTTGCGTCTACTTCACTTTAAAATGGCTCGTTCTTTGCGAGAGAGGAGAATGCTCTCGCTAGGTTGAGAGCTCTTCGCCATTGTACAATTCAAAAAAGAATATTCACTTTAGATATGAGATGACTTTATGTGAATAATACAATTACTTAGTTTTTTTTAAAAAAATATATGTCGTATAACAAAATACAACTAACTGATTGAAAACCATAGTGTAATACTTGAGAGCTTTTCTAAGATTTAAATAATTTATTAAGTCTTTAAAGGGTGTATATGTGATAGGAATTAAATTTGGGGTCTAATTATGATGAGGTGAGGAGCTTAGGGACTAAGTAAAAACATCTTTAATTAAACCCAAAAGTAGAATTAATCTAGTTTCACTTTCCTTAGGATTAGGAGCATCTTCTTCCTCTTGCTATCAAAAGAACCCTGCTCAAGGGATCTGGCCATACTAGGGTCAATTGAAGGTAATTTGTTTTCTTAAACCTAAAGTTTGATGATTAAAGGATGATGGGAAGGGAATTTAAAAGTTTTTGTCATTATTTATTTAATTATGCCTTCCTCTATCTCACAATTTCTCACTAGAAGAAAGAGAAAGGCACTAATAAGGACTATTGTTCTCAAGCATAGTTAGAGGTAATTTACTGTTTATGATTGGTGAAATATTGAGGAATTTAGAAGTGAAGATAGTGCGTAGTTGTGTGACTGGTAAGATTGATTGTATTTTAACAATTAGATTTTGAAATTGATATTAAATTGTAAATTTGGATGGTGTGGCCTGAGGAATTTCATAAGGAAAATTATTTATTTTGGTGTTTAGCTTCCACGAGTGTGTGTTGGAGTAGTTGGGTTTGTGGAAAAGAAAATTAGTGGTATGGGTTAGGGGGTTATTTCATGTAGATGTTTGAGAAATACTGGATAAATTTTTATTTGGTAATTGAGTCATGTTTACTAGATGTTCTTTTAGGTTTTGATTAATTGTATGAAATTGCATTTCGAAAGATAATTATTTGAGGTAAGTAGCTATACCCTCTAGTGTTTTTTTTTTTAAAGTAAATTGATTTATTTTAAAGCGTTATGTCCAATTTTAATTTTTTTAGAAAATAATTTTTATTAAAATATTTTTATTATGAAATGAGATGATTTGTGGACCAAGCATGTTGTTTTATTTTAAGTTTGAGATGAGATTGTGGCCATGTGGTGAAGGCTAATTTAAAATTGATTTCCATCATTAATATTGAATGGTTTTATTTGAAATGGTTTTTGTTTTGTCTTCGTTGTATAGTTAACTCTTGTAAGGGTTGAATTGTTGGTATTGTGATAGATCTGAGATTTATGAATTTTGTATTATGAATTGTATATTGTGGAATGTGAATTGTGTATCATGAATTGGTGATCGAGTATCGTGGAGTGTGGATTGTGGATTGTTATACAGCCATGTAGGACAAAAAAAAAGTTTGAAATACTTTGGTTTTGAGAAAGGAAATGTGCTTTTATCATTTATCTTATAATAATATTAAGTTTATAAATTTTCGTGTTTCATTGTGCTGGTTGGGTATATTACTTATTAAACTCTTAAACGCACGTTTTCAAATTTTATCTCATTTTAGATGAAGAAGTATGAACATTGGATTTTATATGGTAACTGAGAGATCATTAGAATAAATTAACAAAAATATAATTATAACTCAACTAAAAGTTTATTTGGTTTTATGAAATAAGTTGTTAGTTAGTTTATGTTTTTAGTTAAAAGATTTGAGTTTGATATTCGAAGATTATTAGGTTTTGTTATTAGAATTGTTTATTTACAAGTTACAAAATTATATTAAAACTTTATAAGAGATCATGATAATATGCAAGTTAGATTAACTTTCCATGTTTACGAGGTCACCCTGTAGATATATGGCATTTATGAGGCCTTTCACCTTTGGTTGAGGCATGAGAAATAGTAATATTAAAAAAAAAAATTGAAGAAGAACTAAATATATTGTCTTGGTTTACGATTTATATTATACTAACTATAAAACTAAAATTATGAAAAATTTTATTCTATTGAATAATTAATATTATTTAATCAACACCTGGTACTTTAGACTACCTTAAAGGTGCAGGCTCCTTCGAATCTCACCATGACATTTTGTTCAAAAAAAAAAATTATTTAATTAAATATAATACAGATTACAAAACACTTTTTGCCATATATATTTTTACACAAATCACAGATTTGTGATCTTGATAATATTTGAAAGTACCTCGGTTTCATCATCTTGTATGACTCAAAAACCACCGCCGTGATGGCCACCGCCGTGATGGCCACCGCCGTGATGGCCACCCCCGTGATGACCACCCCCGTGATGACCACCGCCGTGATGACCACCGCCGTGATGGCCGTGATGACCACCGCCGTCACCACCACCGCCATCACCATCATCGCCATGACCGCCATGGGATCTCTTGTGAGATTCGCGATCACCAGAGTCACCACAAGCAAAGATAACCATAGATATGAGAGAGAGCGACGCAACTATCATGCAAAGCAAGAAAAGGCCACCACCGTTGCCGCTATCCATCAAAACGATCAAATCTCTTGCCATCTTTAACTTGTATATGTGTCTTCTCAGACCTCTCCCAAAGCTGAGCTAATGTTGTTGTAAATTTGCCCAAAACCCAACTTATATTCATTTATCCCTCTTGTCTTGCGCGTGAAAGAGTTGTCCCTATCTTTCTGTCACAGATTTAAAATCCCCTTGATTTCGCCGACAATATTGATATGTGCGACGCCGGTAATAGCCCACCGTATATATGAATATGAAATGTTAAAATGTTAAGTTTATAAATTAAGTTTATAAATTTTTTAATTTTTTTTCTTAAATAATGTCTAAAAATATTAATTTATTAATTAATAAATATTTTATTAATTTTAATATTAAATAATAATTACAATTATTAATTATTTTTATCAATTAAATTAAATATAATTAATATTTTAAAAATAATATTTTATAACTTTCAATGACTTTGACATTTTACAAGCGGCGGCATAACCACACCCAATTCATCGCACGTAATTGACTTTTCTGGCTCCCCGACCCCAATATCTTATCATTCATGATGGGGAATGGGCGAAAATATCAAAATACCCTCTGAACTTTCTAAGTTTCATCTTAAATTTTCTCAAACTATATAGAGTTTTCCCGGACCATAAAATTATAATTTTAAGCCTCTAAAACTCACAAGTTTGGGAGTTTAACAGCAAGATAACAATAAAAACTCACATAACGAAACCCGTCACCCTTTGTCAAAAATGCCATGTCATGTCTACACGTAAGCAAGTGTATTTCACACGTGTCATAAGCCTTCTTCTTCCTCTTTTTCTATCTTCATCTCTCTCTCTTTTTTTCTTTTTTCTTTTTTAATTTAAAAAAAACTGGGTTCTTCAAGTTCAAGGAACCCACGTCGGATTCCTCGGAGAACCCAAATTTGGGTTCTCAAAAATACCCAACTTGCCCTCTCCTTTTTCCCTCTGACCCAAGATCCAATTACCAGAAGGGAAAGAAATTCCTTCACCATTCCTTTACTGCCTGTTCACCAAAAAGGGTTTTAAAGAGAGGTTTGAGGAAATTAAGTTGTGGGTAAGACTAATAAGAAGTGGGTGTTGTTCAAGACGCTGTCATGGAGATGAAAGTTGTTGGAGAACTTAAATCTGGTTTCTACCCAAATCCAAGGGGCCCAATCGGGTTCTTGTGTTGAAATTAAACAAAAGTGGGATGTGCAGGTTTCTACCCAGCTTCGCTACCGAATTGGAATGGCAAGTATTTTTCTGGTGAATGTACTAGGAAGCCGACGATATGCAACAAGAATGGGGAGATTAACGGCTTCTTCAGGTTGATTTAGGTACAATTTCTTGCCTTCCCTTAACAAAATTGAGTACTCAGCATAGTAATTATGTACTCTTTCCTGAGGAGGACTGCATTTAGAATTTGTCCTATTTGAAACAGGGGATTTTGAATTCTAAACTAGCAGCATCTGCTTCGTGTTTTTGTTTGGAAAATATTTTGATTAATTGAAAAACGAACTCGAGATATGAGTTTAATTTTATAGCAAAATCTAATGGAAGAAGGAAAAGAAGAAGGGGTTCCAAGATCAAGAAACCCAGATTTGGTTTTTTTGTATCTTTTTTATTATTTTTTATGTTTGTTTAATTTTTCGTTTCGAAGCTTAGATATAATAGAATGAATTTTCTCGAGATGGAATGAATAACAAATTGTTGTTAGAAGCTAGCCTATGGGATGGGTGGAAGTCAATGTTTTAAGAACCGGCCCGACACTTGATCCGTTTCAATCGGTTGAATTGGATCAATCGAACTTATTCAATCGGTCATATAAAAATAATATTTTTAAATTTTTAAAAATAAAAAGTAAGATTTAATATTAAAATATATAACAATTATATAAATATTAAATCACTAAACTTTATAATCTTTATTACTAATCTTTTAATTTTTTAATTTATTTATAATTAAAAATTGAATGTAATAATTAATAATTTTATAAAAATTAAATAAAAATTTTAATTTAAATCTTTTAACATCAAATAATTTCTATAAAAATAAAAAGAAAATAAAAAAATAATATCATTAAATCAAATTTCATTTAATATTTAAATACTTAAAATTTTGAATCTTATCAAATCATTATCATTATTATTTATGATTTTATTAAATAAATAATTTAAAATCTTAAAAATAAAAGTTTAATTTAATTTAGTAATATGATTTATAATTTGAGTTTAAAGGTATTTATTTTAATTTGTTATCTTATTTTTAAAATTAACTAATTATAAATTTTATTTTATAAAAATATTTTTCTAACATGTTTTTTATATTTAATATGCCTTTAATAATTAATTTTTATAAAAAAATCTAAATTAATTTTAATTAATTAAGATTTGTTTAACATGTCTCCTAAAAATATAAGTTAAACTTCATTAAATGTAAAATTTTTAATTAATTTTGTACAAATTTTTATATCAAATTTTTATATTTTTACAAATTTTAATTATAAATATTATATTATATTTCAATTTTATATTTTATATTTTATTTTAATTAAATATGATATAAAAATTTATATAAAATTAATTAAAAATATTATATTTAGTAAAATTTTACTTATGTCTTAAAAACACATATTAAAAAAATTTATTTATTAAATATATAATTAAAATCATTATAAAATTAATTAAAAATATTATATTTAGTAAAATTTTACTTATGTCTTAAAAACACATATTAAAAAATTTTATTTATTAAATATATAATTAAAATCATTAACATGATATTGATTTAGAAAATAATTAATTGTTAAAAATTATTTTATTTTATTTATAGTGGTGTTAGTGATTCAGTGGTGAAAACTCCAAATGTGTGTTAAGAGAGTAGGTTCAAATCCTCTTATGCACAAACTTGTTGAAAGTTTTTAAAATTTATGAATCAAATGATTTATCGGTTTAAAAATCAATAAGTTTAATCAACTTTTTTGAGTTTTGACCAAATTTAAATTACTTTGATAGAATCTTACTACAAATCAAGTTTATATTATGACTCCAACTGATTTATAATCAATTTTGGTTTAATCAATCAAACCAATTAATTCGGTTCAAGTTTTAAAGCAGAGGGTAGAAATAGTATTACTTGTCACCCATTTAGTCAAGGTTGGAGAGTTCTTGTCGGTTCCCCAATTCCCCAAAAAATTATACTGGTTCAAAAAAAATAACAAATTGTTGTTAAATTTTTTTGGTTTTAACCTTTAAAAGTGATTTTTATGGATTAAATGATCAAAAAATACAAGAAATATTGAGATTTTTAACTGGAGAGAGGGTGGGATTTGAGAATTTGAAAACAACATAAGGGTAAAAAGGTAATTTAGAAATTAATATGCCTTTTAATTTTATATGGCACGCTTGCATGGAATATATTTGTTGAGTGGTCATGGATTATTTTTTATTATTATTTATATAATTTTTATATATTATTAAATAAGTA